CAACCAGGTTCAATTATGTCTGATGGAGATATTCGTCGTCGAAGTAAATTAATATTTCTTACCACAGTTTTAGATTTGAGTCTATTTTTATATGAAAATAACTGAATACATATTTTAGCAGTGACACCATCATCATCCACAGAATTTCTTAGTCGACCACCATGGTTCAATGAACGACTTCGTCTTTTATGGGATTTTTATCCAACACCCGAAAAATTTGAACCAGTAAACGATTATATTAAAATTTCTGTGTTTTTTCTAAAACTTACTCTTTTTAAGGATGTTGCTATTGGACGTCTTTCAGTTATGGAACAAGAAGCAATTATTGTTGAAGATCTTCTTTTATGTATGTTAGTAAGTATTTATTTAATTACTTTCTAAAAGATAAATATATATTTATTGTAAAATAAAAGGGTATCGAAGGTAAATTTATAAAAACACCATCATTAACGGATAAACAAGCTCAACGTTCATTTCATATCGATCGATCATTAGGTAAAATAGTAAATATATATTAATAAGATCTTTGTTTTTATATATCTTTTCTTTGTTTAGATCCAACTTTAAGAGATTTAGCTCGACGAATGGTACCTCTTTGTTCTAATCATTCGTTAATTGTACGATTTATTGAAGGTATAGTTTAGCTAAAAAATGGAAATATTTTATAAGGCTCATATTTAGATCGTTTACAATATAAATATGGTTTGATTAATCATGCACTTGCTGGAGCATTGAGAGAAGTTGTTCAAGTAAATATTAATCTATAGAAATTTACAATTTCAATGAAAAAATATGTATATTTTAATTTAGCGATATTATGTATTTGTTAGTCAACTTGAAACACAACAACAACAAAGTCTATTAACATTACAAACATTATGGTTTCATACAGAACCTGTTATGGAAATGATGGAAGTTGTAGCAAATATTGTTAGAATATTAAATAAGGTATAGTTTTGTCTAATCTAAAGACAAACAAAATGAACTTTACTTTTTTGAATCTTTATACTAGGGTAATACAATTGGTCGTGCTGTACTTGATCTTCTTCATGAACAAACTCTTAAATTATCTGGTCATAAACAAGCTTATGATATCTGTTTTTTTCTTGCTAAATCAGCTTATAAACCTTATCTGACTATGCTTGAAACTTGGATTCATAATGGTTTAATTGATGATCCATATGGTGAATTTATGGTTCAAGAAAACAAAGATATAATTCATCATGAAAGTAGTCTTGAACAAGAATTTAATGATAAATTTTGGTCACGTCGTTATACATTACAACGTAATAATACTCCAATATTATTTCAATCATCATCTGAAATGATTTTAAATACTGGTAAATATTTAAATGCTATACGTGAAAGTGCATTTGATTATAATGATGATATGAATATGGATATGTCAACATCTATATTACGTATTGATAAACAATTATTAATGAATAATTATAAAAAATTAGAATATACAATACATGAAAAAGATCTTGATGAAACACTTGAAGAAGCATATAAATATGCAAGTGAAATATTATTAGATTTAATTTTAAATAAATATCATTTAATTGAACGTTTTCAAACATTAAAACATTATTTTTTAATTGATAAAGGTGATTATATTGTACAATTTATGGATTCAGCTGAAGATGAATTAACAAAACGTGCACGTGATATTGATGAAAATAAAATTCAATCATTACTTGATGTATCATTTGCATTAACATCTGATGATCCATATAAAGATGATGTACGAATAAAAATGTTTCATTATGATCTTATATCAATGCTTGAACGTGTTATTAATGTTGAATCATCTATGAATATCAATGAATCAATGGAAATAAAATTAACTGGTTTAGAATCATTTTCACTTGATTATGATGTTAAATGGCCAATATCATTAGTAATTAATCGAAATTGTCTAACAAGATATCAAATGTTATTTAGATTTTTATTTTATATTAAATATATTGAACGTTTATTATGTAATGTATGGCGTGCACATAAAAATGGTGGACGAAGACGACGTAAAGGACGTGAAAAAAGAAATATTATAACAAAACCAAATGGTGCAGCTTATCTAAGACATAAAATGCTTCATTTTGTACAAAATCTTTTATATTATATGAGTTTTGAAGTTATTGAATCACATTGGCATACATTTCAAAATAATTTAAAAAAGGTATTAACTTAAGAATTTATTCAAGTATCATTTCTTTCAATTACTTTAGGTTACAAATATTGATGAATTATTAAAATATCATTTATTATTTCTTGATAATTGTTTACGTGATTGTATGTTAACAAGTGTACATCTATTACGACATATTCATAAAATAATGGCAACATGTGTTATGTTTGCTAATGCTATGGATAATGTTGATGATGATAATGATTATGATAGTTTACCTGGTGCAGTAGTGGCTAGTTTTAATAATAATTTTACTGAACAATTACGACAATTACTTGATGCAATTTCGAAAGAAGATGGACCAGTAAATGGTAGTTCTGGTGGTGGACAAAAACATACGCTAACGAATATTATTCATAGGTAAAAGTCATTTCTAGGTATAGAAAATATCAGCAGATGTTGAGAAAACATTTTATATTGATATTTTATCAATAAATAAACATTAATATAAATAATTAAGTTACCTCGAAAATGTCAAATGAAATAATATTAACCTTCCTTGAATTTATGGAAAAAATTATGTCTACACTGGGCGGAGAATTTGTTTTTACAATTTTTATCCCTAAGCATTAAACAAAATAATATTTTTATATTTTTAGAATCAATTTCAACAACCAATACTGTTAAATACTTTAAGAATCTTTTTTTCGATGATGACGACGACGACGATAAACATACTTCATTTTTTTCTTATGTCAATAAACGTAGAATGTCATTTTTTGTTCTTTTTTTTACTAAAAATAAACTGACAATGCTTGTCTTCTTTTTTTCACCGAATAGTTTTCATTCAACGATCTTTGTGTAGTTTCTTTTTCACACCAAAACAAATAATCATAATTATATTAATAGATTTTTTTTTATGTCATTTATTCAAAATCTCTTTCTTTCTCTCTTTATTCCACTAACTCTTTTATAACAAATGTCATAACAAAACAAAAAAAATGATTATATCACACACAATGTATCTTCTCGCTTACTTTTTACATTCAATAATATACATATACATTTTCCAATCATATAAAAAGAACAAAAACAACAAGAATTATTTAGAAAATAAATAAATAAATAAATAGAATTTTCATGAAGTATTGTTCTTCTTATATTTTGTCAAAAGAAATGTACAAGCGCATAACAAGAAAAAAACCAACAACAACAACAATTTATGTTTGGAATCAAAAAATCAAGCTGGTCACCGGCAAAAAACACTTATTACAAAGTTACTTTAATATATCCAACATGCTTATTTCCAGCTAAACTTCGCATCACAACAAGATAAAATAGAACAGAGAGAAAAACAGTTGATTGTTGTATATACAGATAAAGAAAACACAAGAAAATAACCATTAAATAAATATACGCGCATGTACATTGAACTAAACTAAAAAAGATTCGAAAGTATTTTTGTTTTAGTTTCTTTCTGATCAGCAAAAGAGTGGATACATTACTGTCTTTCAGGCGGAAAAATATGAGAGAAAGAAGCGAAATGAATGTGCATACACAAACTCATATAGCTTATCTGAAGTTGAGAGGCTCGAAGAACGCATCACATCAACAACAACAGTAAAGTTAAAAGAAATATGTATATATATAGAGAGAGAAAGAATGTTGTCTGGATTAAAAACAAAAAGAAAATGTTAAACGAACAATTCTAGATTCAGGATAACAATAAACTAAAGATTTTTATGGAAAATGTTTCCAAAAACCACTACGATAATAATAACAACAACAACAATAAACTTATGTACATTTGAACATGGATGAATGTCTGCTTTTTCTCGTTCTCATATGAAAAAAAAAATTACATTGCACGCCACGATCATTAGAAAACAAAAATAAATATCACCGGTATCTTATCTCTAACTTTTACTGTTCATAGACATTCACCTTCTTTTGTATATAAAAAAAATATTTAGTATTGATCGTGTGACAAAAATGAGAGAAAAAAAATGCAGCTAGCCTATTCAAGTAAATGTACAAATACTATATTTAATACTTAGATTTTCGACTATCAGCGACTGTTGTTGGCATTGGAAGGTATGTTGATTGTTGATTATAAAAAGATGCAAATTGATTTATATTCATTGGAGTTGGTGTTGGAGGAGAAGTAGATAATGATGATGAGGATGGAATGATATTATTATATTGTTGTTGTTGTTGTTGTTGATAATAATGTTGTTGTTGTTGATGATGATGTGGTGTACGACGTTGATGATGATGATGTGTCACCGTTGCATTATTTGCAACTTTACCTCCCATTGGATTTGAATTTATTGAAACTTTTTGTATGGCTAATGCTTTATATAAACGATTAAGTTTATAATAATCTAAAAATAAAAAAATTATATAAAAAAAGAATAATAGTTAACAAATTCTTACATGGAAAACTTTCAACATAACCACAATAGCCACTATCAGATGATTCATTTGATGTTGTACTATGCATTGAATGTGGAGTATCCGAACGATCTGGTTGAATATGATTTCCATCAAGTGGTGAACCTTCACATGATACGGATTCAGTATTATTATGTGATGAATAATTTTGTTCATATTTAACTGGTACTTGAATAGGTGCTGATGGCATCATATGAAATGTTGGTGCTTGTGGTGATAATGCTCGTGGTGGAGTAAATAATGGAGCATTACGATACATTGTTGTTGTTGGTGGTACTACTATTGATGGTTGTCCATTCAACGATGGTGATGATGTACGTTGTGGTGTTGTTGAACCAGAACAGCTAGCTGAATCACATGATGAACTACTTGTTGGTGATAATCGTAATGTATTTATCGTAACCATGGGTATACGACTTTGGGTAAATAATGTATCGAGATCATTTTTGACTAGTTCATTTCCTTCTCTATCAAAACGTGCAACTAATAATTGTTGATTTTCTTTTGGTGATGCATGATTTCCAAGTCTAATAAATAAATATATGGATATAGGTACATCCTAGGTCATTTTATCTTTTCTTTTCTTTTCTTTTTTTCAATGTCTTTTTTACGATGTTATGTAAAACAAACATAATGTCTCTAAGGTTTATTTTGTTTAGATGTTTTTTTGTTTTTGTGATTGTCTTTGTGTACTATAGAAAAAAAAGGCGACATGGAAACAGTCGAAATGACAAGAAAGAAAAGAAAGAAAAAAAATGAAGAAGAAAGCAAGAGGAAAACAACTACCTCGTGGGTGGAGAAAATAGGGAGAGAGAGCATACAATACATGAAAACAACTAGCTCGTTCTCTTCTTTTCTTCGTCATAGTATATGATGACATCATATCTCGTGAGTAGGTTGTGCGCATACGACCTACGCACTTTTGTTGAGTAAAGAGAAACAGAATAAAGAGAGAGAGAGGAAGAACTCTTTGTATTAGAATGACTATAACTAACAACAATGCCAACATCGCAATAATGACTAATCATAATGACATAACATACCTAATAGTTACTTCATATGGATCAATCCATAATGTTATGTCATGTTGTATACCGAGTAGATTAGGTGCAAATCCCAAATCATTACATGTTTGAGAAACAATAGCATCACGATAACCATTTTCTTTATTAAATTCTAATGAACGATAAGCTTGTCCTTTGACAGGTTTGTCTATAGTAATAATAATAATAATGTTTGAGAATATAAGTAAAAATATACAAGAGAGATAATCTTACCAGGATACCAATGGCCTTGGTAACGTTCAAGTAAAACTTTTTGAAGATGTGTACGAAATTTTTCAATACGTTCTTCTTTTATTGAACCAAAACGTAAAGCATAAGATACAAGTAAATCAAGTGCAGCATTAATTTCTTCCTTCATCTTTTCTTTAATATTCTGTTATAGATAGATTTGTAAATTATAAAATAAAAATCTATTGTAGCCTAAATGAAAATGAATGAATATGTGTGTATGGAAGTAATATATGTCGAGCTTTTATATTTATAGGGTGAAGGCGTGTATTGCACTCAGTCATTTCTCTTTTCTCTTTCTTCTATATAGAAAGAACCAAGAATGAAGAGAAAAAAACAGAGAAAAGAAGAGAAAAAAAGAATAGAAAAAAACAAAATCTTGATCTATTTAATGATTGTTTTTAAAGGAAAAGAAGAAAAAGACTCGAACGTAATATACTACGTAATAATCAGTTCAGTAATGAAATGAAAATTTCTAGAATATCGTTTGTCTTTTTCCTATATTAACTAAGAAAAAAAAGAGAAAAAGAGCTGAACGACGGAGATGTAAATGAGAGAAAACATACTCCTTGTGACCCTTTAATACAAAGTGCTCGAAGTTTCCATTGATATTCTTATTCTGTTTGGATTGGGTAACATTGATGACGTGTCACGATGACAACTGATGAATCATTCGCAAACAAATACAAACATTAAGAAACAAAAATTTGCACTATAACTATAGCATGGCAATATTATACCTATGTTGCTACTTTTTTTCTTGTTATACTGGAACAATTTATTTATAGCAGTCTATTAAAAATAAATACGAATAAAAAAAATGTGATAAATATCTCAAAAAAATAATATTTTCAACAGAACAACAAAATAAAAATATATTAATTACGCAAGATTTCTAAGAATAAAAAATAATATCACTTGCAGCTGAAACATTTCTTTAGTTATAATATACTTCAATCGCATTAAAGTATGAATAGAAAATAAAAGAAATATATAATTAAAATAACATTTAAGAAACAAAAAAAAAAACAATATAATACTTATCAGATATTCTTACTTTAATCATAATGTTTTTTTGCTTTTCATTTATTTATTTATTTATTTATTTGATTCTGAAAGTCATGTAAATCCCTTTTGACATATATTATTCTTTTATTTTCTAATATTTATTTCATTCATAACGATCTATTAATACACCTGTTTTTTTTCTTCGAACTAATATGTAATTAAAAAAAGATTCATTGATAAGAAATAACAATCTACGTATATGTCTTATTATTTTTCGATATGTCTTTCATTTTCTTTTTTTTATCAGTCTTTAAAAACAAAACAAGAAAGATAGTGAGACTTCGAATAGTAGTCACAGCTGCTTCTTTGACAGAAAACTATTCTACCTACGTAAGCACATTTTCATTTGTTGTTCTTTCTTCAAACGTGGCCTGGCGCCCACGATTATCAATACAAAACAACTATATTAAATGAAACTTAGATTTAATCATTAGAAAAGAAAAATATCAATGTCAAATAGAATAAATTAGGAATTCAATGTAACTATGTATCTATACATATATATATGAGTCATTATTTAATGTTTGAAACATGTTTGGCATAACAACCAATAAAATTGTTATTGCTATGTCTCTTCTGAAATTTAGAAATATTAAATAAATATCATTTCTCAGTCATCCTTATAAACAGTCATATTTATATTTTTGACGCATGTCTATATGTCAATAATATTTATTCTATGTCATTTCAAGCTAATGAAGAGAAACCATTAGATTTTATTTTCGTGCATTGCTTTTATGTCATAAATTTAGAATTATATGAATCATTTCATGTGTATTTAATGATAAGGTAGAAAAAGAAATAATTCGTATAATTCAGTTAATCGATTAGTAATCGATGGGAAGCAAAAAGAGAAAAAACCAAGTACAATATTTATTTCCTAGAAAAAAAAAGGACTCCCATAAAACAATTATTGATGTTCTTTTCTTCCTTTATTTTATGTATAGAAAATAAATATTTGTTCCCCATGTAAATTGCTTATCATTGCAAACGTCTACTGTAACTTGGAAAAAACATATCGAAAAGAATAAATTCAAGATTTATAATCATCAATTTTACACTTCATTGTATCTAGTTATATATAATTAATAACTGAGAGGAAAATCCAGATACTGTTAATAATCTATTAATGCTAAAGAGTTCATATACTTCTTTCGTAATTATATTGTTTTAAAAACAATTCTTAAATATGATTTTAGCATCAGACGGCTAAGAATTAAAATAATTGATATATAAATGTCATGACACTTGGACGTGTTATTATGTTATCAGTATGTGGTACATTAGTTATCTCATTGAATTTTTGAAAAAGCTTCGTTTTTTTTTGATAAATAGAGCAAAAACAAAATTCTTGTATGAATGAAAAATAAGGGAAACCTTGATTAAAGTCAGGTGAAAATTGAAGTATGCTATTTCGTAATTGAAAAATCTTTGGATCATGACTGATTGTGCTCTATGAAATAAAGTAACATACTTTCTTATGATTAAAATTTTTCATCAATGTTATTTAGGAAATATTTCGAAATTAATATAAACAGAATAGATTTGTTTTCAATTATATAGAATTTTATCAAAGCATGATATTTATCTAAATGTTTGTGACATATTCTTAATCATGACTTTTTTTTGCTTTAGAATAGAAATATTAATTTCTTCCTTTTTTCTCACTCATGTAATTTAATATTTTAATAGAACAAGCTGTGATAATTTTTATTAATAGATCTCATTATTCTCTTCCGAATATTAACCATAAATTTTCTAGATCATTGAATTGATAATATTTTATCTTATGACATGAAATCCCTATTGAATTTCTATGAAAACATAGAACATTTAATAAAAGGAAGTACATCAATTTGAAAAACACATTTTTTTATATTCACAAATACAATTATCAAATATTCAGAATAAAAAGATTGTTTTAAATAAATTAACGATAACTTTCAACACTATGGGATTATTTCTTATCATTATATACGACTGGGAAAAATCCCTTTGTTATTACGTGTAAAGGAAAAATGCAAACAAGGTTGATGAGTATTACTATGCACGTTACTGACTGCTACTTGTTTTTTTCTTCCAGGTCCACATGTAACGTAATAAAGCTAAAGACGGTAGAATATAAAAATTTCTTGCAAGAAATGAGAAGCAGATAAAACGTGATTATTATAACATTAACTATAAAGGCGCTTGAAAAATATGTAGACCATACTAGTTATCAATACAAATCTCATGTTTTCGAAATGACTATTCGATTCAGACAGAATATTCTAGATCAAGGTATGCGTACTCGAAAAAACTCTGATATATTCATTTCTGCAATTAAAGAAATTTTAATTGATCTACTTTAAAGTATGAATACATTCACTTTAGCATATATCAAATTAAATTTAAATTATCTTTTCAATATTGTATGAGTACACTTATCGATATTTTGTGTCGAAAACTTATAGAATTGTAGTTTGAAACAAAGCCAATTTTGTTCGTTTTATACACTAAAAGTTAGAAGAGATTTGAAATTGACGATTTCTTATGAAATCATCCATTGATCAAAGGTTTACGTTCATATAGTATACTGACGAAGACATAGACGCACACACACACACACACACACACACGCACACACAAAAGAAAGAGAGAGAATGAATACGTAATCGATAAAAAGAGGAAAGAAAAGAAAAACAAAAAATTTTTTTTAAATAACAAGATCAAGTTGGAGGAAGGTTTATTGATGCAGGCGGTGGTGGTGGTGGTAATAATGGTAGTTGTGATGTAGTCGATAAGGATGGCTGCTGTGCTATGGATGAAGGAAGTGATGATATAGAGGCTGTTGGCATCGATTGACTAGACGATGAAGGAATAGTAGGAGCCGTAGTCGTTGCAGTGGTCGTAGAATTTGATGAATCATTTGCAGCAGATGAACCGACAAATAACGGTATATATTGAGCACGGATTTCACTGGGTACATGTTGACATAGAAATGCATTTTCATGTTCGAGACTATTCACTTTTTCATTAAGTGTTCGAATTTGTTGACGTAATTCAGTTACTTCTTCGCGAACAGCGGATAACAAATGCATTTTAACAAGATCCTAAAATATATGATATTCTATAATAGTACATCTTTTAATTTTACTTACCATAGCCGCAGAGATTTTATTGTCAATATCAGTTGTACTAAAATGAAAAACAAAAGAAATATAAGCGTATTTTCATGCCAATATGTATATATACATAAATTACAATGAGCAAAAGTAGAAAAAGAATAGCTCTTAATATAAATAATGATTGAGAAGAAATTATCATTCATTTCATATTCTTTTTTTCTTGAGCAGAGCAATTAACCGAAAAATAAAAGCGTGAGTATCATCATTCGATTGATTAATAATGAATCAAATCTAAATTATTTTCTTTTGTTTGATATTTTCAGATTTTATCGATCAATATGTATTGTGATATAAATATTTCGAATACCTGCGCTGTCGTCTATTTCTAAAGCGACCTCGTCTCTCGGAGAAACTGAAGCTTGAAAAATGGGGATGGAATTAAACAAATTAACGAAATAATCAATTCGTTTTTTTTCTAAACTTACTTATTTTGTTTTGTCGGTGTTGTTAATTCTTTGAGAATTTCATTTGCTATTTCAGTATTTTTGCTATTTTCATTAGTTAATAAACCCATGGCTGCAACAGCTGTAACAGCAGCTGTTTGAGCTGCTGCTTGAGTTAAGTTTAATTGCGAACCATTTGTTGTATATGGCCACATATCATTTAATGAAGTTGTTGTTGTTTTAGTTAGATTATTTGTTTGAACTGTTATTGGGGATAGAAGTGATGGTGGTGGTTGAGAATTTAATATTGAAGGTGATGATGATAATAGATCGGCTATATGTGTTGGATTTGTTGCTGCTGTTGCTAATGTTGTCCTTAATGTATCATTATTAACACCATTTGCTGTTGTTGTTAGAGGTTTTGTTAGATTTGTTGGAACGGTCGCTGTTGTTGTTTTTGGTATAGTTGCTTGTTGAACAGGAGTTTTTGTTGATGATGTATCATGTTTAGGTGAAGTGAGAATTGGAACTTGTTGTTGCGATGATGGTACTTGATGAGATTGTTGTTGTTGTTGTTGCTGTTGTTGTTGCTGCTGTTGTTGTTGTTGGTTATCACTAGTGTTATTTGGAATAACTTGAGCGAGTGATAAAGGTTGTGTTGGTGGAATAATTGATGGAGGTGGTGGAGCAGGATGATAAGATGCTACAGTTGCATAAGGTGAAGTACCATTGGGTGGTGCTTGTGAAACGTATGTTGGATGATGAGCAGTATATATGAAAGGAGCAGCAGCCATTTGAGCGTTTAAGTGATCATTATTTGGATTTGGAAATGGGACAGAAGTCATCACTGGATTTTCATTAGTTACATCTGGAACTAAAAGTAAAAAAGAATTGATTTATAAAATAGGTTTTTCAATGATTTTATAATCTAATAAATAAGAAATGAAAAGTTAAGAAAATGTACCTGTATCCGAATAACGAATAACATCACCGAGATTTCCAGGTGGTATTTGAGATAGTTGTTGTGGATGTGATGGCATTTGTGGATGAGGCATATAATTAGCAGCAGCAGCAGCTAAAGCAGCCCATTGAGGTCCATAAGGTGAGTAAGGATTTGGAAAAAATGGATAATAACCGAATTGAGGATGATTCGACATAAGGAATGGTTGATTAGGTGCTCCCATATTAGTTAATGTTTGTGGCGGATAAGGGTGAATAAGACCAGCTTGAGGTGGAACATTGGCAGTTGGTACAACTGCAGCTGGATTGTTCATTGCTAATCTTTGTTGTTGCTGTTGAAAAGCAGTTGCAGCAGCAGCAGCAGCTGACTGAAAAATATATAGCTTTATGTATACATACAAATAAATGAAAACAAAAAACAATTCTTACAGCAGCTGTAGCAGTAAGTGTTGCAGATGAAGTAGCATTGGGATCACCTAGTAAACCAGGTGGTATATTATTCGGTAGGGTATTTATTGATGCTGCTGGTATAGTCGACAATGTTGTTGAACTGGAAATGTTTACAGGCTCATTTTCAATTGTATTCACCGGTTGATTAGTTGACGTTGAGATATTTTCAGGTGGTTCATAATCATTGACTTTCCATCGGCCGCGTCCAAAATTTCTATCAACACGTATCATTTGAAAACGTGATGCACATCCTGACTCATCCGTAGTTGACGATGCTGGTGGTGGTGGTTGTATTTGTACTGCTGCTGCTGGTTGTTGTTGACCACCAGCAGCAGCAGTAGTAGGTATTGTCTCATCATGACTACTAATTGGATTTATGGGTAACTTATCAACATTTACCACATGAAATTTTCCAATTAACTGTTCATTATTATTTGTTGGATGGTTTACTGTTGATTGCCCATTCATAATTCACTTGTTTAAGAGATAACGATTAGATTTAGTTAAAAATCGTATCATATCGGGTTATTCCCTTGTCTACAAAATAGATTAATAAGAAAAGAATATTATAAAACAAAAAGAAAATAAAATAAAAAATTTATTTTGAAAAACAAAAATCATTCTAACAGTAAAATATTATTAAATTGTGTAGAAAATATTTGCTTGATTTTATCTAAATCAAAAGTTCGTATTCAATTAATATTATTCAATAAATGATATTTTACCACTAATTTCTTTTAAATTTGCAGATTTTTGATTAACAATTACTAATAATTCACGCATATCGGATCGTTTAGCTATTATCCATGGATCATTTTCACGTTTGACCATTATTTCACCAGTAGGATGAAACCTAAAGACATTGAATCATGTCCTCGCTCTTACGCAAATTTACAATAGAAAACAATTTTATTCAATTATGACTCATTCAAAATAAATATAAAATAGAAAGAAAAACCAATCAAAACATTTTTCGATTCGATCTGCACTCAAATGATTTATCTTCCAATGACAGTTTTAAAACCTAATTAAATTCAATCTGCCCACGTAAATGAAGACTTAAAAAAATAAAATTGAAACATATATGCAATACCACACGATTCTAATAATCTATTTAAAAATAACTTTTCATAAGACAAACATACCATTGTACATCTTCAGCAAGTGTATTTGTAAGATGATTAGCAGGACTAGTTAATTCACGATTGCTGCTGAATAAGCCATATTTATTTTATTAAAATACACATGTTTCATAGTATTGTCAATTCTATAAAATAAACATATAATTTTCTTTTCTAGGTCTTATATCTATTTTCGATTAAAATACAAACATTGAAAATTTTCTTCGTAGATATTCTTAAAAACTAGGCAATAAAATTTCCAAATCATTTTTAAATAATTCAACGATTGAGAATATTTTTTCATCGTTAGATAAATCATTATTTTCTTAAAAATGAAAAAACAAATATTTATATTTAACTAAGAAAACAAATTTTAAAATTTCTTATTTACCATTAGGAAAAACACAAAACATAGTAAATAAATGTAAGTGTATAACCAGTATTCGATATTTTATACATAGATTTCCTAGAAAAAATTCTTGACTAGTTAAACTTGTTGATAGAATTAATTCATCAGCTGGAATTGCATTTCAATCGATCGTTAAGTACCTAGAAAAACAAAATGTTTATGAGTACAAATGAAAAATAAGATAGTAAATCATTTCTCTTCATTGAATATTTATATAATTATAGTTAATATCAATCTTTAATTCTCGAGGGAATTTTAAAATCACACACATATATATGAAGAATTATAAAAGAAAGAATAGAAAGAAAAAAAAACATTCTATTCGTTTTTCTTTTCAAGATTAAAAATAATTACTTTTAAAAATAAAAGTTAAAAGGTCTTAGGTTTGAAATATGATCTAATTTTCTTTACAAATATGCAACATATCAAGTTTATATGATCATTAATTGTTTAACTTCATAGAAATCTACAAGTCTATCGGATATTTGTTCTTACCGTATATTAGTTGTATGTGATAAATTTTTAATATGTGGCCAATAATAGAGACGAAAAAACGAGTAGATTGTAATAGTATCATCTTGATTAAGTCCACTCCTGAGAAATATCTATATATATTAATTTCCTAGATGAATATTATTCTAATATACCATATAAGTTGATCACGATAAATAAAAATCATTTCTTTAATTGATGGAAGATGTAATTGAAATCGTCGTAAAATTGTTTGAAATTTAAAAACAAATCGTCGATCGATTGCAAGATATTGTATACCGAAATAAGAAGAATCAATTGTGACATCACGTATCATATTATGTATATGATATTGAATAAACTAAATATAATAACATAATTAGATATACAACAAAACAAAAGAAATGAATTAACTACTTGCTTTATCAAAATATACTTTAAGTATATATCTTAATTCATCGACACTATTACGATGAATTAATGTAGACATTGTACCATATTGTAACTTGATAGATTAATAAAATATGTTTTCAATTGTTTGTTTCATAATAACGACTTACAACAAAATATTCATATGACATTTTTAAAATAGTTAACATAAGTCTATCATTAATATGTTCATCATAATATTCAGTAATAGTTTTATCATCTTTCTTTTGTTTAATAACTGGAACATAAAGTGTCTTAAATAAATATCAAAGAAAAAAACATATGAATATGAATTCTTACCATAGCAAGACAGATATCATTTTCAACTTGATAAAATAAAAGACGAGACTTTTGAAAATGTATACTTTCACATGGATCATCAAATGCAAAAGTTCTTCAATGAAATAAATTCTTCGTTTTTTCTATGAGTTAATTAAACATACTCAGTAAATTCAACTAAACCTTCACAGTAACCAACTGTACGTATTTGACGATCAATTTCTGTATCAGATGGATAATAATAAAGAATTTTTCGAGCTTCCTAAAGAATTTGTTTATTGAAAAGAAAAAACAATATTGTTGTTTTTTTATCAAACCTGTCCTTCTTTTTCACAGAATAACGGGCAATAAATAAAATAATCAACAAGATAAATACTTGATGGTATGTGTTCATTAGATGATGCCATTACGACTTAAATATTGTTTATATTAGTCAAACTTGTTGCTATTTTGACTCTCAAGAGAATTCGATCAGCGATGTTTCTTTTTTTTTCAAAAAGACAACACTTGGACTTTGTGTTCGTTCTTTTTCATTGGATGTTTAATATAAGAAATAGAATTACTGACATGTGCCACTATGAAGAAGTATAAGTTTTGATTACTAACCACATCTATCGCATATGTATCATGTAGGTACATTCTTTGTATCAAAAAATTATCTCTAATACTAGAGAAGACTCATAAAAGACTATAATCAATCATAATGATAAAAACAGAAGAGAAGAATTTTTATTATTAAAGAAGTTCTGTTATAACTCATTGATATTGTTCTAAATATTCCCGCGTAATATCACTTCGAAAACAACAATTCTTGCGGAAATACCAACAGAATAGAGTACAAGCATGAATAATCTAGATGACGTGTCTTTGTGTACTCTTCAATAGTATTTCCTAGTACATAGATCCTATGACATCTGATCTATACTTCGTATCCACTATTAATCTATAGTATAACTTATAGTGACATCCGTTGAGATAAAATTCAATCGTTGTTTTCCTAAAATCATCTCATTATATCTCATATTATAACTTTTGAAATAATTTAAGAATTTTTTATGATATATTTTAAACATTAGAAATATTTTTTCGGATGGATGCTTCGGAAAAATAAATATCCAATACAGCTAAAAAACAGTTACCATTACAACGACACATTGATCTAATATGAAAAAAAACAAGAGGAAAAAGGCATATTCACGTGCTTTATAAACGTGATAGATAATAAGAGATGTCCTTAGAATAAGTACAAAACAAACTGTATAAATATTTCTTTCAATAACGATACTAATAATAACAATATTCTGTCTACTAAAATTGCATCTCGAAAAAAGAAAATTATAATCAATAAAATTAATTAATCGTTAAAAGTTCGTTTCTTTTGTAATTGTTTTATGATTAGTCAATACTTCAAAACTTTCTTTTATATTTGATCATAAATCTCTTTTACATGATTTTGATAATAAACTATTCATTCTTAAGAGAATTGTTTCATGTTATAAAATTTCTAATTCATTTTCTATCGACATATAATCCATTATATTTGATTTATAAAGACACATATTGTGTATATCAATATATTATTTTATCGAATAAAAATTATCAAAAAAAAAGATGACAGATCGTTTGATTAATCGAATACGACATTCAGATCCAGATATAGAATTTTTACCAATAGAAAGTATAGGACGTGCAAGACGTGGATTATCTTTAGAAAGTTCATCATTAATGAGTAATGAATCTACTAATCGTTTTGCAAGTATTCAGTTATTGGCTGCAATTCATAAAGCTGAGTAAGTACATTTAGTACAATTGATTTATTCTATCATTAATAAAATATATATATTCAAGAAAAATAAATAAATATACACGTTTGGAGAATGAACTTTTTTCCCGTTATTTACGACGTATTGAAAGTTCAAAAATTATTGAAAAATTTAATGACTATGAAGATGAAGATGATATGAATATTACTGACAGATATACTTCTTCGGATCAATCATCAGTATATGCGAAATTACCAGAAGTAGCACGACGTTCATCTCGTAAATAATCGAATCTCTTCTTCTAATCAATAAGATTTATTTAAATGAAAATTTTTAGTTAAAAGAAATTCACTTCCTTCATCTAATGCATTACCATCATGGAGTAAACTAGTAAATAATTGGCGTAGTTATATGTTTGAAGCATATCTTTTACGTGTTGAACAAGAAAAATTATCAATAGCTGCATATGAAATTGAGCAAACAAAATTAGATTTGGAACGAATGAATATGAATGCTCGATTAGTACTGGATCACTTTTATGTAAGTTTAAACACTTTGAAAACGTTTCTCTTCAAGTATAGAAACAAAACTACTAACTTCATCTTAATCATGATTAGTAATAGATATTTCTCGAAATCTTAAACTAAAGAAATCAATTTGTTGATCATTAGTCAGATTGAAAGAAAAAATAATTCATACGATATATTATAAACAACTAGCAGAAACCATACTGGAAATCTTTATTCGCAAGAACAAAAACTGCATTAATCAGAGTCAGCTGTGAGATAGAATTTGATACATTTTTTGTTAATTATATATCAATAGAGAATGGGTTTACGTATATGTATACATATTTAGGTTCTTCTTCGAACTGCCGAATCTGATGAAACTGCTCATGAAATGTTCTATGATGATTTAAGAAAAAATATAAATAAATTTCGACAAAAGATAAGTGGCGAAAAAATGAACAAATCACGTGTACGTATTCCAGCTGAACTTCTTATCAATCATTTTAATAAACGATTACATTCGCGTATGAGTTTAATTGGAAATTTACACACAAATACAGCACGTACACAATTACGTATCCGAATAGTTGATGCAGCAATTTATGCACTTGATCATTCACATGAAAAAATGCGTGAAATCGATATTAATTTTGTTCGAACAAGAAAAGTTGATTATTTGAATACATATGAAAAACTTGATAGACAATATAAAATAGAAAAATCTGCTCAATATCCAGTACTTAATCAATTACAAGAGATGAAAACAGAATTATTTCAACAGGAAAAAGAGAAATTTGATATGGAAAATAAATGTAAATTATTAGAGAATCGTTTAGAAAAATTAACAAATGAAATAAATTCTATTGAACATGAAAATGAAGTTATTTTTAATGAAAATAATATTTTAAAAAATCGATTAGCTGATATTAAACAAGCACCATCAATTATCAATTATGCTTATAGTATTGAACAATCAAAACAATTACAATATGAAATTGATAGTTGGACACGAAAAGTTAATATTGCTCAAGTAAGTTTTCATATTTATGAATTAGATTTTCTTTTTCTATTATAAATTGAGAGAAATATGGAAAATAATTTTTATATTCTTTTTTTTCTATTAGACATTATTATCACAATTAAAACGACAAACGAAATCACCGAATGTTCTGCCACCAATACAATCAACTGTTACTCGTCAACGTCAATCATTTATACTTCCTGCTGAATAAGTAACACTCTCTCGTGGTTGTTGTAATGAAACACCAGATCCACTATGTGCTCCTTCAACAGCTGATCTTCCATCGGAATATTTAATAATAAGTCCACTTGTTAATGTATATTGAATAGTAACAGGTCCTCGATGTTCTTTTTTTTCTTTTTCACTATTTAATCTGTCTGTACTTGTTCCTTGTGCATCTTGACTAGCAGCAGTACGTAATTTACTAGTTGCTGCAGATCCTTGTCCTGTTGTTTTACTAATATCTGGAAAAGCGACATCATTAGCTTTAATTGGTGCCAATGTTTCAAATGCTTTTGTTCTTTCATTAAGTAAATATTGAGTTTTAGTCACGGTTGTTATATCAGCTGGTGCTGTGGATTCTAATTTTTGCTGTTTAGATGTACCTGATGGTGCTTTTCGTATTGTTGGTGGTATATTTTTATTTGGTAGTGATGGTGTAGAACGTGTAGTACTTGTTTTATCTAATCTAGAAGCACTTAATTGTTGATGAAGAGCTAATTTTTCTTGTAATTTAACAATATATTTTGGTCGTTTTTTACTTAAATCCATACGTACTAAATAAGCTTTAAAACCTGCATAATAATAAACAAGTACATCTTTAATTAAAGTTGTTCGTGCTTCTTCTAACGAACTAAAATCATGTATATTTGCTTGTATTGATTTTTGCAATGCACGTAACATACGAACTTGTAAATCAACATTTGTTAGATCAAGACGACATGTATAATTATTTGTTGCGATTGTCGATTCTAAATATGTTTCAATTATATATCGTAATTTCGATTGTAATGTAGCATCATTAGCAATTTCTTTTAAACGACTAACATCGATACAAAATAAAAAATCTTGATCTAAATACGGTGCTTTTTTTGCATCAACCCAATGTGTTAAATATGCATAAAAATAATAGAAACGTTCATTAAAACGACCAATTGTAGCATCAGATAATAATTGATATAATTCACTATAATGTTTTTTTGTTGCTTTACCAGTACCATCATCATTTGATGCTGATGCTTCAGCATCAGGACCAAATAATGTATCGAATTCATCTTCATCATCAAGTCCCAAACCATCTTCTATACGATTAAATAATGCAGTTAATTCTTCCAGTGGTTGTGAAATAAAATCATCAATAGAATCGATTTCAAATATTTTTATACGATCTTCACAATAATTAACAAATTCTTCTTCTAACTCAATACGTAAATCACGAAATAATAGTTCAAATAACATTTGATCTGGACGACCATTATTAGCATTTAATATTTCATTTTGTTCATCAGTTAATGGAAAAACATTTCGTTTTGAATGAGGATCAAAATAAGTCTTTTTCATACGATCTATATGTTGTTGTTTTTCATATGGATTTGTTAAATCCATCCACTAAGAAAAAAAACAATAAGTTATTTTTAAAGAAAGATTTTTTTCCTGATGATTCTATTCCTTCATATCTCTAATAATAATATAGTATATACTATAAAATTGAATTTCCTTTCAAATACGTTTCTTTTTATATCTGTTAAATAGAAATCGATTGGTTGAAGACATGACAATACCTTAGCAATTTCAAAGACAAGACAAAGTTTATGTTCCAGTTTTGGTGATGCTGTTTTGTTTGTTTTAAGATGACGTTGTAAACCATTGAGAAATAAACGTTGAACATCTTTTGCTAATGACGCAGTTGGAGTAGGTAAAATTTCATCAATATAAAATCCTGGATATCGTCGAGTTCGTTCACCACTTCCATCGCCTTTTTCGTTCGCCCGTCTTCGTCTTTCTCTTGCTGCTTTTAATGCTTTCTTACGATTTAATTCTCTGATACGTAAACGTTCAAGTCGTTCAGCACGTAAACGTTCTCGTTCTTCTTCAGTTAATTCCATTCGTAATTCTGCTTGTCGTTTTCTTGTTGCCGACGAAAGAAAACGATCTAACCATGGACGTTTTATATAAATTGTCTCATCTGATATTTGAATTTGTGTAGCAGGTGAACATATTCGTTGAAGTCGTCGTTTTGAAACAGATGAACCAGAACGTTGTTCATTACCATCACCATCATTTATCTCTTTTTCTTCTTCTTCACTTTCATAAGCTATTTGTAAAGGTGATGCTGGTATATAATAAGCAACTGTAAAACTATCAACATCTTCTTTTATACAACGTAACCAAGTATGTTTCAAAATAAGTAATGCTCGTTTAAATAATGGTTCAAATGAAAGTTTATCAAATTTTAATTGATGAAATGTTTCAACCCATCGATTTATTTGTATATCTGGCATAAATTGATCAAGAGATAACTTAGCTGAATTACCTAGAAAATAAAAATTGATATGAAAAAATATGTTGAATAATTTAGAGATTATTTACCAAAATAAGTATTTAAAATAGATAAACCATGTTGACTTTCAAGAATTTTATCATCAAGATTTGAATAACGAAAATCATCAACATCATAACAGAATAATATTAATGGTAATAATCGACGTTCACTAAATGTAATATAACGTAAAAACAATCCACCAGATTGTTTATCTTTTCGAATAACATTTGTATATTTTCTCATAAATGTATTATTAAATGATTCTTCACTTTCATCATAAAATTCTTCATTTCTAACATCAGGAATTATCATTTCATTTGTTGTATAATCATTTGAAAGAAATACACGTGTCATTTCAACAAGATTTGCTTTTGCTCGATGATCAATAGGATAAAGACAAACTTTAGCTGGTTGTTTTAATTCAGTAGGAAATTGAAAATGTGAATGATGATGATGATGTTGTTGAAATAATTCATGAATAATAAATCTTGCTGACCAATACATTCGAAGACGACGTAAAACATCATATTGTACTTGAAAAAACACATCATGTGTTAATACACCAGCTGTTTCTGCATAAGCACGACGAATTTTATTTTGTAAATGACGCATAAATGGTAAATGATATTTTCCATCATTTAAATCACGAAATAAACGTGTACGTGCAACAACATTTTCAATTTGATCAAGACCAGTCATTGTATCTTTAAAAAATTCACAATCCATCCAAAAACGATAAAGTTCATAACCACCTTTTGTTGTTTGAAGAAAATGAGCAAATGATTGCATACCTTTATGTGAACCTAAATCAAATCAATGGAAGATTTCTAATATGAAGATGAAAGGAAATATTCTTGAATAACTTACCAAGATGTTTATATTTAACTTGACTACTTGAACTTTCTACTTGCAATCCAAAATTTGTTATATCTTCATTTTCTTCATCGTTGTCTGATTCGTCAAAGTATCTTACTTTAACACTACTAAATAGTGATAAACTTCCTGGATCATTTGGATCATTTATTGATATATTTTCATCATCTTTTGGTATTGATTTTCTTTGACTTGTTTTCGAACTTGATGATCTTTTTGACATTTTTCCAGACTGTTTCGGTGGATTATTCGGAAAGAAGAGTGAAAGAGATCGAACTAGGCAAAAAAATAAAAATGAATAATTATAAAAGGAAAAAAATAAAATAAAATTTACCTATATTAGCTGGTACAGAATAAGCTCGACTACCTGGTCTTAAAATTGGTCTTGGCATACGTAAAAGTTCTGAAGCCATAATATTATTTTCAAACATCATATTTGAATTTGATGAATGTTCACTTTGATCTAAATCTTCTTGTTCATCATCTTCTTCAACAGTTGCTGTTCGTACAAGTGCAGTTGCATTTGAATTCTCTGTTGAAAGTGTTCGAGCAGCTGTATAAACACTCCTAGAAAATAAGTATGAAATAATTTTTCTTGAACTAATATCAAATGACACTTACTGTCGACTATAACCACCAATTCCCTGACTGGAATGTACAGATGGTTCTTTTTCTGTAATTAATGGTCGTAATAAAAGTTTACATAATTTATATTGTCGATAAAGTTCTGTACGCCAAAATAGGCCAAGTCGTTCATTTTTTACCCATTCCATAATCTGTGCCTGATGAAGTTTTTGTGAATTTGAAGTCTTTTGAATAATTTCATCAGGTACTTCATCTAATTGTATAGTATCAGAAAAGCCACTAAACACACTAAGAGTATCAATTTCATTTGATGGTTTTTGAATAATATTTGAAATATTTTCATCAGTAAGGTTTAATAATTTATCATTTGGTTTTTCAATAAATGTATTTAATTCTCGATTATATTCTAATTTATGTACAAACATACCGGAACGAAGAAATTCATTGAAATAATCAACAAATATATCATCTAATGAAAGTAATTCATCAAAATCATGTATACTACATGAATCAGTAACCGATGCAGAAGATTGTTCGGGCATTTTTCAATTGTTAGTATGCAATGTGATGATGTTTACTTTTGATCAAACGCAATAACGGGTGTGCAGAAGGAAAAAAATTTATATATATTCTCTCGTTTTGTACTTCATCTCATCATGAGAAGGTGAAGGTGTTTGACTTTGATTGGCATGAGAACGATAGAAGAGAAAAAAGAGAAGAAAGCAATTGCTGTTGCTACTTAGAAACGAATCAAGTGTCATTTTAACCAGCATTTAACTAGTTTCTATTCCATATGATTTCAGAAAAAATTAATGTGATCGATACATGAATTCTAATTAATTATTTATAAATAATAAAAATATTGTTTGATTGATCTTTTTCATTCTCAGTTGTTAATCTTCGAGTAGAAACTTAATTGATATTTTTACATTAACGAATACGATAGAAAAATTCATATTCTTTTGTCGAAATATATGTATATATGAAATGAAAGAACAAAAAATGTTCTTTGATACTATTATTACTCATTTCACTTCTATGATGAGTAATGTTATTTTATCAATTCTTCGTATACGGAAAGAATATAATTAAATATAAAATAATAGAAATTGAAATGATTAATTCCATCGTTTGTCAAAAAATTAACTTGTATCAAATGAATTAATAATTAACAACTGATAAAATGAACAGAGTATGTAAGAAAAACATTAAAAATAGTAATTCGATCCGCGTAGATAATTAGTATTCAGTAAAGAACAAAGAGACATGTCTTTAAACGTAAGTTTTTTGATTTATGTATCGGAAGTAATTATGATGAATATTACCTTAATAACAGAAGAAAAAAGAGAAAATCATAGAGTAAGCATTAATAACATCAAATTTTTATTGCAAAATTTAATTACATTTTCAAGTTTTTTATTTTAAAATATGCTTTAGTAAAATAGACACTCTTTTTTTAAGTTACCTAAATAAGTCACAAAGGTGATCACAAGTCTGTATCGCATATATAGTTATAAAGTAATACTCAAAATTATTTGTATAGTCGTAATTGAAAACACATTAAAATGTAACGTCATTAACGATTCTAAGTTTACTAATATCCTTATTTTTCAGATTGACAATTAGCCTCTGATGACAAAATATATAATATTTATTAAGAATATTTCTTCAATTATATTATTCTATTTTATCAACTATTTTGTTTTTTCTCTAATTAATTTTGCCATATTTCAATAAGTTCTTAGCAGATGAAAGATGATGTACATCATTCTTCTGAGTGAGAAGCAATTATATTGTTATAAAAATACATATAAAAAAAAGGATAAATCTATTATAATTCAATTTGAACAAAATCTTTCTCTTGATTTTCATCAGATTTAGGTGGTAATGAAAGATCAATTGTATAGGAATCTTGACGTTGTTTCTCTTCTACTTTATGACTAATCGTAGCAAAAGTTATTGATGTTGCCGATAAATGATGCCTTAATAATGGTATCAATTCATTAGTTCGTTTTAAATGCATTGCTAATGCATGACGAGAACATTCATGAAACCAAATGTGAACACCATTTGCACTATTCATATCTGGATGATCGAGGTCAAAATCCATTACTGATGTTACACATGTAATTTGTCTTGGTTTTTCATGTTTACCACCGCCAACAACTCGATGAGCTTGTCTTTGATCAGCTTTTGATAATCGACTCCAATGTATATGAAGTACACAATTATGACTAGTTTTATTCGCAGTAATTTTTTCCATAGTAGTTTGTACTTGATCAACAATAGCATGTGCTTTTGATTTTGGACAGTAAGCACCCATTATACGCCAAGGTAAACCAAGTAATATTGGATCTAATATAGGATTAAAAGCAATTGATAATGTTGCTAAATCTGCACACATACACACCATACTTCCACCAAGACTAGCACCAATTAAAATAACACGTCGATAAAGTGTCGAATATAATTTTACTAAATTACGATAATATGCTAAACCATCCCATTGATAATTTGGATCTTGTAAATAAAAACATTGCGCTGGATCTGTAAAAAATATTGCATCAAATTCATCATCTACATCACGATGCAATTCTTTCATTGAACCACGCCATTCTGTTGTTCGTACACCACCAACAATCATAGCAGCACCAGCAAAACTCATATATAATGTTGGTGCTCGATGTGGACATGATAAATCTGGTTCAATATGTGCAGCGGAATCTTTTATATGACATTGACATTTTTCATTAGCTGGACAATAGGTTTGTCGTCGTTTTTCTAAGTGATCAAAACGTATACGAGTAAAAGCAGAAAATTTCGAAAGCAACCATCCATGTCCACGATTACGTTTTATAAAAAGAAATAATCCACCTAAGATAATTCCAATAACAGGAATTATCAAAAATAATAACCACAATTGCCAATGATACATTTTTACTTAATAATTTTGAGAAGCTATAAACGTTATTGTACAGACGCCAGCAAATATCGTAAAATACAATAGGACGCAAGGCTATCTGTGCCTTATATATATTTACTCAGTATATATTCTATCACACCAGTCACGCTTCACTATACAGGTATATAATGTCAATAAAATTTTTATTTCTTTCGATCATGATGCGTAGAGAAAACGAACGAAATATCTACGGAGGTATCGACGTCATGTTACTCATTAAAAAGAAATTATTAATGTATGGAAACACAATAAATGACTAAACACCCACTTAAACTAAACAATGTATATATACATACGAAATAATCTTGATTCATTGATTGAATGTATTCTTTGAACTTATATATGACTCCTTTTTTAACGTCATAAATTATTATTTTTAACAGAAACAGGAAAAAGTTGTATATAACATTGTATTTATTATTATATTTTGAGATTTTTATTCGATTGAATACTTTTTAGTATCAGATATCATTTAGCATTAATTATCAATCTGAGTTTTTATTACATAAGAGAATATTATCGAAGATACGAGAAAAAAAACATGCATCATTTAGTACAAAAAACTTCGCCCAAATACTAATGATAAAGAGAACGGACAAAACAAATATAAAATACAAAAATAATCACATGGTCTATTAGATAATATTGTTTAATTATATGAAAAATGAAAAAATAAAAGGAGCATATACGCATTGGTTATTATTATAATAAAATATATGCCTTATCTAGATAGAAATTTTCTAATTATTTTTTAAATCAATTTTCGTATATAAAAAATCACGAGTGCTCTTTCTTCTTATATAAATTTGTTTGTTCTTCGTTGTTCAATCTAGTAAAATTGTTAAAAATTTACTTTTCATTTTTTTAATAGCAAATCAATATTTTATTAGCCTTCAAACCTCTTATGAAGTCTATTCACTTGCCACTTTTCGATATATATCAAATAAACTAAATATGTTTATATAGAGTATATGCTAGAAGAAAATTGTTATTCACCAAAGGCGTTGATTAAATATTATTTCAAATGAGACAAATATAGTTTTTTTTAAATTCAAATAATAATATCGATTAAAACAAAATTAGGTCATATTCATTTCGTTTTTTCTACACAGGAAAAATTTGAATAGAAAAATATTGATTTAACTAAAATATGCTTTTGACAGGAAAGAAGTATGTTAACAACTTTGGATTTTCTACGTACTCATTCATTTATAATATCTCGTAGTTCTGTCTTTATAAACAGAAATGAAAAGATGCCATACCTTTTTTTCTTATTTTTCTTTTTCGTCATTCAATAATTTATTCAAACATACAATCATAGTTTACTAAGCACTTTAGAATGTTAAAAAAAAGTTTCTCTTAGCAAAGTGCATATAAACCAATGCAGTGGTTAAGCAACAACAAAAGCAATAGCAACGTAATGCACTGACAGACATTTATTTACATGTTGACATGGTTGATAATTCATCATTAGCATATCCAGCTGATTATTATTATCCGGAGTTTATTTACAGTCGTGCAGATGAACCACCAACATCTCCACCTTTACAATTACCATTAGTATATGTTGATAATGGGATTGGATCATCGACAACAGTACCAACAACTGTTCAACAAATAAATGAAACAAAAATTAAACAACCAATACCTAAACAATATTCATCAACTAAATTAGCTAGTAATGTTGTTACGAATCAAGGTTTATCTGATAATGGTATGACTGAGACAGTTCAAATTGATCCTAAAACTAATCTTTTACGTAATCCAGCTGAAAGAAATATTCCAAAATTAATCGTTGATGATAGTATTATTCAACAAACTCTGCTAACATCAAAATCAGGTGCAATCAGTTATGGTAATGATTATGATCACCATACAGCAAGTTATAATCAAATAAATCATGGACAAACATCTGTAACTAACAGTTATATGAATGGAGATTTAATAAGTAAATCAAAATTATATGAAACTGGAAAACAACAACAACAACAACAGCAACAATCAATAAGATATACTGATAATGAACAACAATCAATTGATGATTATTGGAAAAAAGAAGTTTTTATTGATGATCAAGGTGTTGTTACTATTGAAGTAAGATTTTTCATTAATTTAAAACTTAATAAAAGTTATATTTTTCTAATTAGCCTGTAGTACATGATGAACCAGTCTATGAAGGTCCATTTGGTTTAACTCGTATGGGTTCTTATATTTTCTATATTGGTATGGGAATTTTTACACTAATTGCAGCTATATTTTTAATTATGAGTGGTGTTTTTTATGCTCAAAGTAAATAAATTTTCTTCATATATATATATCAAATTATTTATCGTCTTACTTGAAGATTATCCTTCTTCATCAACAAATGGTGGTAAATTAGCTGGTGTTGGTATATGTGCATTTGCATTTTATCTTGGTTTACAATTAATTTTAATTGGTATATGGCATCAAAAACATCGAAAAGAAACTGCTAAACCAGTTGTAAAATCTTTTCAAAATGATCAATTACAAACACGTGCAAAATCAACTAAACCAATGATGGAAGATCATAATATCTATGATTTCCAATATCAACCACAAGTTGATTATACACCATACGGAAATTATCCTAGTCAACCTTATTCTTCATATGGTAGTGATCAAATGTTATTACAAGGTGCACCACCTGGTACAATGTTTTATCCGCCACCTGTTTGGCCACCAAACAATGAACTTGGTGTACAACCTGATCCAAAATTCTATCAACCTATGGAAATGACCTATGGACAACCAACACCTTCCGGAATTACATCTACCTCTGAACAAATTAACACAAATGATGATAATAATAAAAGTATATTAAAAAATGAATATTAATAAGTTTTCTTTTCTTTTTAAATTTTTACTTTTGTAGATGAGAAAAAAACTCCTGAAAAAAAAAGTCATAAGAAGAAAAATGCAATTGAAGTTGATACAACGAAAGAAAAAACAAATAGTGTTGTTCCAAAATCAACTGTTATTGAACCACCGTTACCTCGACTAGGTAAAGCGCCTGAAACAAGAGAACTGGTAAGTGCATATGAATCATACTTGAAAAAATAATGTTGTTTTTTCGTTGTCAATTTGAATAGGAAATTTATACTTTAGATGAGTGCATAGAAAATGACTTAATAGATAATTTTTCAGAATACTTACATGACAATAATTAGATAATCTAGAAAATTACTGTCGTATATTAGATATATGAACCTTTTTAGATTGAAAAAAATGCTGAACTAGAAAAAAATGCTGAACTGGAAAAAAATCTTGCACAAACACCATCAACTAGTGAATTGACAGTAGCAAATGTTGCACAAATAAAAGGACTCGATGATAAAACAGACAGTTCATCTGCACATGATCATCAACATCATCAAAGTAGTAGTCGTCGTCACCATCGTCATCATAATAATGGTCATTCAGGTCGAACTTATCATCCACATCGTCATCATCATCGTACACGTCATCATCGTCATCGTGAATCCTATTCACCATGTTCAATATGTTCACGTAATGAATTTCACAGTGATGTTAGTTATGATCCTCATTATCATCATCATCATCATGCTGAATTAGTACCGAGATTTATTCCACCACCACCACCAACTCAGACACGTAAATCAACAAAGATGTATCGTGATAATGGAGTAGTAACTGATGTTGAAATGAAAATAACGAAAGATTCAAGTGTAACAGCTGATTTACAAGATGTATCATGTATATTGACTTTTATTTATTATTTAAAAAAGATATTTGCATTTTGTTTTTTTCTAGTCACTAATGATAATAGTCTTTCACAAATTCCTATTACTCATCGTACAGTAATAATTGAACCATACCCAGCAGAACCATCTTCACAAATAATTGCTACGCCACGTACAAATATACAAGAAGATTTTCGTTTAAAAAATAATAATAATGATAAAATTCTTTATCCACGTACGCCAGTGTCATATAAGAAATCTAAAAAGAACAAGAATACAACCGAGAGTACAGATAATATTATTGAAGAATTGAATTTAGAAGATATTAATGAAAATGGATATTCCAGTGCTGGATCAAGAAAGAAAAGAATAAATATTTTATCAATGAAAAAATCAATTAAAAATGCTTTCTATAATTAATTTCATAAAAACATATGATATACTTATTCGAGTGATAAATGAAATAAATAAATTTTTTACCATTTTGTTTTAAAAATTATGTACAAGTAATAAAATACTTTATTTTTATCATTTGTATAATGTAATTTTACATTGTGTATGAGTAAGTTATTTCTTTTTCTTTATAAGAATCAATTCCCATTCTATTTAATTTCTTTAACTAATAAAAAATTATAAACTAATAAACATCACTTTTGTATAAATTACGTTAGTTGTTGATCAAGTAAAAATAAATCACAACTAAATATGTATATAATTTTATTTGTATATAAAAAAAATATCTTTTAAGATATTATGAAAATTCGGTATAGTCATAACAAAATCTAATATTAAGAAGAATTTGTTTTTTTAGAAATATAAATACATCATAGAATAATATAATCGTTCTTTTTAAGTTCGATAACTTATAGTTTTTACTGGTGCTTCTTGAACATAAACAGCGCGTCGACCTTGTGGCTTTGGATAATTTGGCATATTCTGTGTTTTTACAAAAGATCCTTCTTGATATGAAATTGGTCTTTTCGTGGCAGATTTAATATGATATGCTACTGGATACTTATTATAATTGTCATTATATCCTTGTACTTGAACTGGATGACGTTGATATCGCTGTTGTGAATGTTCATCATCAAATAGACTTTGTATTATATCAGTTCGAACAGGACGACGAGCTGTTACATTATTTATTTGATTACGAGTTCGTGGTACGGGATATGTATCAGATGGTTTATAAACAGGAGAAGATTGCACAGGTAGTAAGATAGATTGTTGTCTATTAGGTGGATTGTAAGGAGAAGCTCGTACAGGTTTCGGCGGTGACTGTATTCGATCTACTTTATTGTAAGGTGAAGCTCGTATAGGTTTTGGTGGCGATTGCAATCGATCCACTCTATTATAAGGTGAATTTCTTATAGGTTGTGGTGGTAATGGAAATATATCAGATTCACAACGAGATGAAGTTTGTCTTGGTTTTATTGGTGGTAAAATTATTCTTTTCTGTTGATTATTTTTGTTCGCTGATAAGGGATTATGATAAACGGATGTATCTCTCATTGGTTGAATAGGACGATCAGTAGGATCAAAAGGTGAAGGTGCTGCTCGTGAATGATTTTGAGTAGGTGCTGAATGAGAAACATGTTTCGATGAAGGAATTCGTTCATTTGTAGGTAGTATTTGAGGTGTCAATAAAGCAACTGGTACTGTTAATTGCTGTGCTGGTGTATCAGTAGCATCTGGTTGACGACGACGAATAGCTAATGGACGTACATATTCTGAATCTGGTTTTTGATAATCATCAGTCTGAGTATCTTGACGTTGATTAGTATTCAAAACTACTGTATAGGGTAATATTTGATCTGTAGTTACATTATTTGCATATGGACTTTGTCTATAATTATAGTCGTTTTGATCAGGATATGGCTGAATAATCTGAATCGGAGGCCATCCTGTACTTTCATCATTTAAAGTATAATCTTCTAAACGAAACAAATCAATAGAAAAAATCAGTAACTTTTTCTTATTTAATCACCTGTATAGGTAGCAGTCATTGTAAAGATTTAAATGTGTTTGAAGAGTAAATACAGAACAATTTTGTCATTTTTCTTTTTTTTTTTACGTTCTTCTTTAAATGAAGAAATTCTATGGTCTCTCCAATGTATTGCTATTAATGATGTCATACTGATTTTTTTTCCTTCCATTCAATCAAAAATTTCACCCTATTCTGTTACTTTCACTTAACAACATACATTGGTTGAAAAAAAAAACAAACATATCAAGCATTTTTATATGATTTTAAAAAATAATACACTGAAATAAATAAATAAAATAACGTCATTCTATTGTAGGTGGATACTTTCATGTAATCCATAGAATATAAGTTTATATACCAATTGAAAAATAATTAACACCTTCTTTCATCAATATTCTATTCAATGTCACGAATAGCACTTTTTTTTCTTATCCATTATTTTTTCATTAACCAAATTAATTTTACATTCCGATATGAATACAAAAATAAAAAATATATAGTAGATACTTTTGTTCTAATATTTATTGCAAAATCACATCACGTCTATTGCAATTCTTCCATTATTATTAAGATGCACGGAGAAAAAGTTTTTTTTTTTTGTATGGAATATTAATTTTCAAAAGTATTGTATTATATAAAGAATAAACATTTCTATTAAATCAGCAAGTTAATATGATGATGATGATTATATCGATAATTATTTTAATCTATCATATAAATTCTAACTTTGCTCAAAATCCAATACTAGGATTACAGGTTAAAATTACACCGAATATTGAAGAACTAGATGAGTTAAACGTTTTATCCCGTGAGGATAATTCAATTACAGTACTTCCATCTCGTCGTCCAACTGGATCGTATTCTATCTCAAGAACAACACCTACACAAAATACATATGCTTCTCCTTTACCTAATTCCAATTGTTTCTGTTCGTATGATCAAATCATAAATTTATTATTATGTTCTCCATTATTACAAACGTCTACTTCTCATCCACTTTCCGATACAAATATTTCATTGATCAATATAACATTAAATGATTGTATATTTTCTACAAATCATTTAAATCTACCAATGATTCAACGAAAAAATATTGATCAATTAAGATTATATAATGTTAATCATCGAAATTATCTTGTTCTTGATGGTTCATCTTTTTCTTCATATTCAATAAATAATTTATTTATTGTTTATAGTTATACTCTACCAATAACAATGTTACTTATTTCAAATGATACATTTTCATTATCATCAATAAATTTATCATTACGTACACTTTATATAAGTTCATGTTATATTGTAACATTAAATAAACCATTTAAAAGATTATTTTTACTTGAATCTATTTCATTAATAAATATTTATCAATTTTCTTGGTATGATTTTCAACAACAAATTGTTCTTCTACCAAAATTACAAACGATTTATATTGTTGATGAAATATTTTCATTGACAGGTGATATTTTTAATGCAATATCATGTCAAGATCTATCATCTCAATGGACATTTACTTATCGTTCATTACAAACATGTAGTTGTAAATATATTTCATTTTTACAAACAATGCATCGTTTACCGAATTCATATAAATGTCCGAATTCAAATAATGCGATTGATTTTATGGATGATATTTGTCAATTTAAAGAAAAAGAATATCAAATACAAGATGAACCGAATTTATTTTGTAATCGATGTTTAACTTTTCCATGTCCTAATGGAACATTATGCGCAGAAGTCTATGATTCAGAACCAGTTTGTGTACCATTATCAAGATATGATTATGAAACTATTAGTAATCGAATACCATTAACGCCTTATACACAACCGTTTCTATTTCGAGAAAGTCAACAATTTCTTAGTAGTAATGCAAATAGAACATTAGGTCCAACTGCATTTAATTCTGTTGCAAATGTTTTAATTGATTCTAATCGAAATAATCTACAAAATTCTCAAAATGATGCACAAATGTTTCATCAAACATTTTCAGAAATGCTTGATCGACCATGGTCACCAACAGTTTTTAGTTCACCAAATACATCATCAGGTGTTTGGCAACAATTATTAGTTTCATTAGATGGTTCAATTAAAAATCTTAATGATAGTGAACCAAAATTTGTATTTCAAAGTAAACCGATATCAACAATGAGTCTACCTTTTCTACCAGAACAACATTCACAAGGAACATACGGTTGGAAAATAACACATGATAATCAAATAACAGCAAATATTACAGATTCACAATCAAATGATATTAATGTAACAACACGTGTGTTTCTAAAATTTAATATTAGACAACAAAATATGCCTATGTGTAATAGTTCGTAAGTTTTGAGAAGAAATTTTATTTCTGTTTTGTGTATATATTATCTTTTAGAAATACAAATGAAAATTGTACAAATCGTTTTTCAATAACATCACTTAAATCACCGAAATTATTTTATAATACAAATCGAATTCCTCAATATGATGTTATTTCAATATTAGCACCAAGTCCAAATCAAACTGTTACATTTTATTTTGATCAAAAACTAGATTTAACGAATACATCTGATTCTTCAATAAATATAACAACAAATTCTTCTATAACGGATTCATTCTATGATCAACTTGATATTATGATTTCTGAAGGTACTTGTATGTATTTAAATATGACAAGTATGGTTTGGCAAACTGATGGATGTATAACAGATCGTCAATTATCGAATAATATTTCAGTCATATGTACATGTGAACATTTAACTATGTTTACAGTATTTTTTTCGTTAACATGTGCAACACCATCTCAAGCATTAGAAGTTTTAAGTTGGATTGGATGTATAATTTCAATTGTTAGTCTTTTGGCAATACTTGTTATGTTTATTGTAACTAGTCAATGTCGAAAACCAAAAGATTCTGCTAATGGAATGCCATCATCATCACAATCGAGTTCAAGTCAAGAATTACGACGACGAATTATGGTAAAGAAAATTTTTCTTATCTTTCAAATAAATAAATTAATGTTGAAGTAAAGATGAAATTTCCGTGATTCTCGATTTTCGCCAGTATCATTATATGATTACATATGTATAAAAATAGCTCCTGACAACTATGTTGAGAGGTTTAGACTGTAATATGCCTGTTCCGATAATATTAGGTTAGTTTGTCACATGTATTTTACACTAATCTTGTGTTATTACAGTTGGCGAAAATCCACTGGACTTACGCCAAATCGTGCCTGAATTTTCGCCAATGGCGAAGAGACAGTAAGCGGAAAATTCTACATACCTTTTATACATAATTCATATAGTACTATTATACGAAAACTTCTATAAACTAGTTGAACTTTTGATTGAAAGCTATTTATGAATCTTTTGTGTTTTACTAGAGTAAACCACGTCGTTTTTCAATAACAAAAGCAATGTTATTTATTTTATGTATTTTATTAATCTTAATGAATATTCTCATATTTATTTTAACATTTATTAAATCGGGTCGAAATCTTACTTGTACAATTTTAGCAGCATCACTCTATTATTTCACTTTAACAGCATTTATATGGAAATTTTGTTTTGCTTTACAACAAAGTTTATTTATAACAAATATATTTCAACCAATTTGGTCCGATCGAACATTATTTATAATTTATTTTATTATAACATTTTCAATACCGATTTGTCCATTAATGATTATGTTTATTAAATATGAGAATTCCGTATTTATATCATCGACATGTAATTATTGTTGGTTAACACGTGAATTTTTACTCTATGGACTAATTATTCCAATATTAGTTATTCTATGTTTTAATATAATGTTTTATTTATATACAATGATTCATTTATGTGTACGAAATCGTCAACAACCAGGTTTACGTTCAACAAAATCTGATCATTCTCGACGTACACAAAATTTTAAAATTGGACTTTTCTTTGCTATTATTATGGGTTTTAGTTGGATAATAGGTTTTCTTCTTCTTATACCTAATTCATATGTACAATATATTGGAAATATTCTATTTTGTATTGTCAATACATTACAAGGCTTTGCTTTTTCAATTATGGTTTTTTGTATGCTTGAAAAGAAATCCTTTCGTAAATGTTTTTGCTTTTGGAGATACAAAAAACCAGCGAATACCGCCACAAAGTCACCCAATGTTATACCTCAAGATTCATTACCAACATCGAATGATGATAATGATGCAAAGAACAAGAATATATATAATTCATCGATTTATACATCATCAACAACATCCGATATTGATAATACAAAGAAATTACCAACAGAAAAAGAAGACAATGATCAAGAACATATTTATAGTTCGCCGACATTTTGAAAGAAAGAAAAAACAAAGATTACTTTTTTGTTTCAAAAAAAATTTATGTTGAATTTAAATACAAAGAAAGGATATTGAGAGACAACAAAATCTAAATATAGTGAAGTTTTTTATTGCCAAATTTTAAAAAAGACCACCAAATAAACAAGGTTTTCTAAAGAAATTTTATAAGACAAATAGCAGAAAAAAAGATAGGATATATTGTTCATCAATAAATTAGACACCATCATATAACGAGATTTCTTGTAAGATATCAAAAGAATTCATTTCTTTAACTATTTCGTGCCATTAATCGATCTAAATAAATGAAAAAGAAAAAACTTATCTATATATTCAATAAAAAAGAGATTAGAATTATAAGCAAAAGATTATTATTCTTCCCATTATCTCTCTGTTGATTAGATACGGTTACTTTTAAGCTTGTAGTGCTTTAATTGATTTAGTTATAATAGTAGCAATATTGTGATTACTGTATTTATGACGAGAGAGATATTTGTAACTCAAAATATGTTTAATTTATCATCTAAAATAAATCAAAAATTACCGTTTGATTTGGCAGCTGCATTAACTGATTGAGGAGTAAGCGATTTAACAGGTAAATCCATTGAAACAGTTGCTTCATTATTCAATGCATGAGATACAGCTAAATGAAGAAATAAAATAATATTTGCATTGAAATTAATTATTGAAATATACTTTCAGCTAATTCATGATATGCAAAATGAAGATAAAGTAGAAAAAACATATGAATTGCTACAACGAAAAGTCCAAGAAGGATTCGATAACGTGGATTAATTGTTCGTGCCATAATTAACAACATCTATCATACAAAATATAACTTCATTAATTATTAAATTAAAATATTTACCATTCTAACAGCAGCTAGACCACCAACAATAAGCCAAAGACCATAAAATAATAAATGATCATGACCCGTATGAATGAATGTAGCAATAAGAAGGACAACAGTATGACTGAATAAAGCATAACCCTATAAATATGAATAAAATAAAGTTTTTTTAAATTAATATTTGTTTTTTTCTCACGAACATTTATACTAAGAATTTGCATGAGAGTAAGGTGTGTATTACAAACAAATGACATGGATGAAATAGCAAAACTTGAACCAATCCAATAGCCAAAACAAATAAGAAAACTTGTTCCAATTAATGTACCATCTTGCTAGAAAAAGAAATTTATTCATAAATTTAATTTTGATCGAAATAATTCATTTTATCAATGTATAAGTTTAATATTGATTTATTTTAATAAAAGTTCAACGAGTATTATCTCCGGAGATTTCCTGAATTAAATTCCATTCACAAGGGAAATCCTGCTAAATAATTAAAAGCTTTTCAGCTCATACAGTGCATAATGAGCCTATAAATATCTTTAAAGAACAGTCTTATTTTTGAACCGGTTATTATTGTTTCTTAATGTCATATTACAAAACTGTAATTAGTAGAAATTCAGACTATAGAATTTGGATCTAAGATAAACCGTGATTGTCAGTTCTCTAACTTTTAATTAGCAGATAGAATATCCTTAACATACTACAGAATGACTTGATAATTTCATTTGATAAATTAATATCGCTGCTAATGTAAAAACAATCATTGCTGGTCCATATAATTCAGGTTTGATATTCTAAAAGAATATTTATTTAAATATTTGAAAAAAGAAAAAAATATTTTTCATACTTCATCTGGTGATGGCCACCGAGGAGTTAAAGAATGAAGTAATCTATGTGAAGAATATTCATTATTTATATAGAAAAAATCTTATTTATTTTATACCGCTGTACGAGTTCTTTAGGTTCGACATCAAAATACGGTCGAAGTAAATCTAAATTAGCATAAACATTAATTGCTTCTTGAGCACGTGTACGTCCAGCTGACCAAACCTAATATTCAATTTTATTAATGATTATTAACATTTATAAATAAGATAATTTCTTACAATAGACGTTACACTTGGTATTGCGCCTTCTAATGATATTGAGTGTTGATTATTATTGTCATTATTATTATTATTATTATTAGTTGGCATCGTTCTTCTTTGAAGATTTTCGTGCATTGAATACGTTTTAGTTTAATTTTATCAGACAACAGAATATAAAAGAATAGAAGAAAGTTTTGAATATGTCATCAATCAAAGCTTATTGAAAAGTGACATCTACTCATATTAATCTTGATATATTAAATAAAACATTTATGTTTTTAAATGAAATTTTTATTAAAATAAATTCGTTTTTTTTCTTTATTTAAGAATAATATTATTAATTTATGATTGAACGAAATCTTACACCAATCAAAAAATATATCTGCCAATCAAGTGAATGAATGAACTTTTTTCTCTTGAAAAAATTCTAATTAACCTAAGTAAAGATTTACCATGACGAACTATCAGAATATGTCAACATCAGGTAAAAAACGACGTTATCCAACAGCTAGTTCACCAAATGAATCTGAGGATGATAATGAAGGTACATACATATATATGTCTATATCTATTATTTAATTAATCCTTTATTATTTAGAACAACCTTCAAGTTCAAATAGTCAGTTATCCAATAAACGACGTGGCTCTGTTGCAGCTGATTTTGCAGCACATCGTCTTATTGTTAGTGAACGACAACAAATGGCTGTACTTAAACAATTAACAGCTGGTGATGAATCGAATGGTATGTCTTTCATTTTAAATATATATCTATATAAATAAATTATAGCTGGATCTCAATCACCTTCATCAGTAACTCCTCAACCACGTCCATCAAAAATAAATCGGCGTAATGAACATGGAGAAACAATTGTTCATATTGCTGCAAGAAAAGGAGATCTAAAACAATTAAAAAAAGTTCTGAAAGCTGGAGCAAATGTGAATGAAGCAGATAATGCTGGTAGGAAAAGATTAAAATCAATAAAAGAAAAATTTTCTATATTAATTTTTTGTTGATTTTAGGATGGACACCACTACATGAAGGTAAATATAAAAATAAGATAAAAATCTATAATTGATTCTATCACATCAGATAACGATTCTATTGATTTTCATTATTAGAATAATAAGTACACCCATAATATCAGTCAACGTTCAATAGGTTTACATTTTTAAGATCAATATTAAACAAATACGTTAATCTGTTGATTTATCAAGATCGTTTTCTACTAACAAAAAATTTTACTTTTATTACTCTCATCTAAATAATATGCATAAAAATTTTATCTTTTTCTTTAGCTGTGACTAAAAATCAATTTAAAGCTGCGCGTCTTCTTTTAAAATCTGGTGCCAATTCTAATGCACTTGGTCCTGAAGGACAAACACCACTTGTTGATGCTGTACTTAATAATAATACTAAAGTACATAATAACTTACTTCTTTGATTATTCTATAGGATTTTATATTAATTTAGATGGCTGAATTATTATTGAATTATTCTGCTGATCCATCTGTAATTGATGTACAACGTTTAAATGAAACTATGTCAAAAGTATTGAAACGTGAAACAACAGTACTTGAATCATCTGATAATGAAAATGATGATGAATCTATAAGTCCTTTATCACCATTAACAAGTGATAATGAATTTGAACATGATGATAAACAAAATTTTCATACAACACTTGTTGAACAATTAGATAAAAATTTATCACAACGTTCAGCAAATGCAAAACTTCAACGAAAAAAAGTAAAATACATACAGAAATAATTGATTGAATTTTATTTATTTTTTTCAATAGCCTTATCGTCGTTTTCGTGAACGTTCATCACAATCATCAGATTCATCATCACCAAGTAAAACTCGTACGATGAGTGGAACTAATGATACATCATTATTATCAATGACAGGAAAAAATCCATATGATTTTGAAAGTGAAGAAGATGGTGAAATACGTGAACCACCTACTGA